ATTTTTAAGTACCCTTTGTCTTATTTAAATTTGATCAAAGAAAATTTAGAAATCAGTACTAAAGATTAACCTAAGTTCCAATTATTAAAAAAAGAAGAAACAAAAGACTATGTCTTTTCTTAGCTTTTTACCAATAAAGCATTATAAAAATTATTAAAAGAAACTGCTAAAAAAAAGACTAGTGAAATAAAATGTAAAAAAAACTGCAACTCAAAAACAGTTAGATTGAGAAACTAAAAAGGCATAAAAAAAAGAAGCAAAACAAGAAAAACAACAGTTAACAAAAGAAAAAAAAAGAGATTAAGTTAATTAAAAGTAAATCTAGATCGTACAGTACTATATGTATTGTACACTACATACTGTAGGTATTGTACGTACTGTATATGCCGATTCTTTCTACCAGCCAACCAAATTACTAGATATACACTGTACTAATCGTGCATCATTTTTGGTCCACCACCCAAAGATTACTAGTTTTTTTAAAAAGTTTTCATTTATTATAAAATTTTTTTTTTATACAAAATTTTTTTTTTAAAAAAATAAAAATATTTTATTTGAAACCTTTAAAATAGAAATATATTAAAATTTTGCAAATTATAAATTAACTTTATAAAATAATCTTATAACGAATGTTAACTGTGTCATAATACCCTCCTTTACCTTATATATTTTTTTTAAAAAAAACAAATACCAAATATAGATTAAATACCATTTTATAGTGATAGACAAGTTTTCCTGCAAAACTTTACGTACGGTTTAAAAGATAATACAAGTGCCACTAATAGCAAATTAACAAGATTGATTAAAATCAAATTATTGAAAATAGATATCACTTATATTTTTTAAAATATTTCAAAATTTTAGAAAATTTGAATTTACAAATTTTGGTATGTAACGTATTTGTTAGAGTATTACGTATCAATATTTGATATCGATATAGATATTAATACCGTAATAGGAGTTTATAATAAGAGTAGAAATAGGTTATATCCGTAAATTCCGAAAAAAAATTCAACATTACAACACATCTTAGAGCTAGGCATTACCTAATTACCTAGAATTACCTAATTTTCTAGAATGGGATAAATGGAATTACGTAGTTCAGGTACCAGATTGTGAAACGGTGAATGTTTTTTTTTGTAACAGTAATGATATGAAAACATGATAAATGTAACGATAATGATATAAAAACATGATAAAGGTAACGATAATGATATAAAGAAATCCAACAAAAGGATTTAATTAAACTTATTCAGATATTCTTTGTATGCTTTAAAGATATCGGTACGGTTAATCTTACTTTCAAATAAATGAATTAAAGTTTAGGTTTACACATAAAATACGTAGTACGTAAAATCAAATAATCTAATATAATGATCGAGGTCATGTGGTAAATTTTTTTTTTTCGCGGGAAACTTATTGAATTATGGTTGAAATAACGAAATTCTATGAATTATCTTAATGGAGACATTTGGTGTAACATATAACCAAATTCATGTGAAAAGTAGAAAATGAGATTGATTCGTTTTCGTTGTTGATATGCGCATGTAACATTAGATTAGGTATAACATTAGATGAGGGTAAATATTCACAATACAATTACTGTAGCTTGTAAGTAGATATGTATGTACGTATGTAACGCTAAATACTGTATGTACGTATGTAACGCTAAATACTGTATGTACTGTACTTATGTACTGTAAGTAAGTATGTGCATATAATACATGTGCCACATACAAGAACTACGTACAAGAACTACATACATCACGTATGTATGTAAGTAATGTATGTAAGTAAGTGTAAGAAAAAAGAAGCAGTCAACACTTCAGGCATAATCAAGAAATCAAGGGGAAAAATCTTCACACGAAACAAGTTCAGGGTTTATGAGACATTCTTTTAAGAGTTATCATTATTATTCCAGAAAAATTAAAGTTGCAGATCATCTACAATTTAAAACCAAAATCTGTACATAATATAATAACGATTGTACTTTTAAATGTTTGGATGAGCAAAAACAGAAAAAATTTGGGACAATGATTCCAACAGCGTCATCTCGATTTATCGGAGGCACGGAGTTTAATTCTCAATAATAATAATAATAATAATAATAACAAAAATAATAACAAAATATAGAATATAGGCGCCATATCTTACCTAATAAGATTAGTAAGACCTAATCACATTATTTTACGCCTATATAACTATATAATGAATTGATTTTTATACATACCCGATACAATATCAAAATATACAGTACGTACGTGTCAAAAGGAAGCATACACTCCTATTGCGTTCGTTGCCGAATCGTATTGTTATAGGTTCAGCTAAAGATTCCTTATTAACTTATGGAAGCATGGTTTAAACATTTATTAGTTATTAGAAATTAGAAATGATATGATATACAGAATTAAAATGGAGAAAGTATTGTGCACCTAGTTATTATGATAGAGAGAAATCATTTCTTTATATGGTATGATATAATTTCTTTGTTTCATGAAATCATTTTCCGATTGTTTATTAGAATAAATGACGAGATTTTTTTAAAAGGTTTATTTTTTCGAAATGAAGATAAATTCCCGAGGGATGAGAAAATTCTATCGGACAGGGCCCGAATTTTTCAATTGATCATAGGCGTTAACGCATGCGCCTACATTATTGTTACAAATTAAAATGGAAAAAATGCGAGATGATGATAACATCATTTGGTTTTAAAAAGCACCAATCCTATTCATTTTTTAAACTCGTTATTATTAATTAATTGTTGAAAATACCATATTTAATAGATTGTGATTTATTTTAATAATCACCTGGAGGTTTGTGATAAGCAATTTTTTGTATATTTTTTGTGGATATTTTTGTGGTCAACGTTAACGATTGTTCCCAATGATATCAAACACTAAAAGAATCCAGAAATGAAAAAAAAACAAAACCCTTAAATTTATTTGGTAATCCTGTCTGCAAAGCCACATTATTAAAAGTTTGGTGGAGCACAAATGTATCTCAAAATCTGGTGAACCGGTTTTAATAATTCGAGTTTATCACGTGAATTTTATGATAGTTTAGAAATTTATCCAATTAAATTAAATTTTAGTAAATTCTAAAATATCACAAAATTCATGTGATAAACCCGAATTATTAAAACCGGTTCCAACCTCCTGGTGAAGATCTAACACGTATCGGTGTATCGGTATGTATGGGTCACGTAAAATGAGTTTACCCCTTAACGTTAATACTGTAATATTAATACGTATTAAACGTTAACGTTAATAAGAGTAATATTGTATTACGTATTATTATTATGATACTATTATTATACTATTATTAACTGTTATTATATTATTATTATACAATTATTATACTATATAATCCACACAAGTTATGTCATAATTCATATCGCGTTGAATTCATTAGTGAGTCGCGAAGGATCTTCACTTAAATTTATGGCTAATTAACTGTTAACATAGCCAAATTGCATAGCAGCATAGCCGAATCGTGGCATTTTTCATGTTCAAACAATATAACAATAGTAATATCTAAGCCAACTAATTATTTATTGGTATTAAACGTTAGTACATTGCGTAAGTACGTACTTAAGTACTTACGTGTAAGTTATTTACTGCTTTATAAAGACATAATATCACAAAAATAATGATGAGCAAAATATAAGTAGGAATAAAAGTACGTATGGATATAAGCAGAATAAGTGCCCTTTTACACTTTCCAGCTCATCTGATGCAGAATGCATGCATTGACATGTGCTTATCGACTGATTGCAATAATTATTTGAATTTTTGAACGAAATTCTTTTAAATGTTTCTGCAACTCAAGGTTACGCGAAGATGCAGTATTATTAAGTTGTATTATTTTTTTTTTTTTGTATACCTGCATAAGTTTTTTGTATTTAAAAAGTTTAGACGACACGTTATTTTTTCCAATTTCACTTTTCTAATGATTTAAAGAAAAATAGCATTTTATTTTATTTGATCTTCAAAAAGAAATTCCTAATTCCTCTGTCCACTCAGCGGTGCAAATATCTCTATTTATCACGTGATTGTCCATTGTTTAAATATTTGGTTAGAAGATCACCAAAGATAATTATACAAAGTGTCATGAGATACTTTTCCTTCAAATTGTCTTTTTTAAGTATGGTTAATATGGTCATGCGTCGTTCCTAAGACATTCCTAAGATGTGATGGACCCTAAGCATGATTTGTTCCTAAGACATGATTGACATGACATGATTGTGATTAACTGCTGAGAACGTTCAAATTTGAAATTTGAAATATTTATAGTTCTCGGCTAAATAAATTACGCTAGCGATCCCTTCTTTTTTGAAATCCTAGTAAACTAAACGTGATATTTACGAAATTTACGAAATAGTATTAAATTTTTCATTAAATTAACTTTTCTACATTAAATAATACTATTAATTAATTTCAGTAGTCGTAAACGTATAAGTTACTTCAAATATCACTTAATAAGATCCATATAGCATATTTATTTATTAAAACATATCACTTTTTACGTACGACGTACTGGTACGCAATAATTTTTTTTTTTTTTTAATTATTTACAAAATTTTTAATGAAAACATTATGTAAAGTTATGTAAAAGAAAAACCAAAATAATAATAATAATAACAATTTGTTCATCATTATCAATCGAAAGAAAAGGTTTAAAAAAAAACCTACATATGTATGTACAAATAATATGTACAAGTATACTGTGTAATTACCAGTTGAATTTACCAGCTGAAAAAACTACAAATTTTAAATTTCAATATAGATATTCTGTAATCAGAAGCATCTATATGAAATACATCGTTTGTATTTGTGATTTCTACCAACGTACTTAAATCACTATAATTATTATTATTATCGTTATTATCGTTATTATTGTTATTATTGTTATTATTATTACTATTAAAAAATTCATGATAAATTTCGTTAGCTTTTTTTTCGCTAACAAATTCTAGAGATTCGAAAAAAGAAAAAATCTATTTATGAACAACATACACCTTTAACCCCATCCATCGTTACTCCTGATGTAAACATTTCATTAGGATAATAATTCCATACATCTGTTCGTCCACTTTCTGTAATAATTCCATAACCACCAAAAATTTTCGATGGCAGAAAAGAAACAAAATTTCCAATAGATGTATTTCTTAATAAGTTGTGTTGTTTTTTATTTGAATGATGTGGTGTTTCCAAGACTGGATCATATAGATCATCCTTAAGTATTTGAATATCTAATTCTGTACGTGCTTTTTTATCTTGTTCTAAATGTCCCCTATGTTCTTGATAAATATTAATTGGTGCTCCAAGTCCTTCTTCATCTTCTATTTGGCTTTCATTTAATAACCGACTATTTCTACGAACTTGTTTAATCATTGGTATAACTTCATTATTTTTTAATGTGGTTTCAGTTTGAGTTTGTGAATTGGATTTGACGGAATCACTCCTCGACCGACGTTTTTTAGATACATCTTTGACATATTCTCTATATAAATTTATAATGTTCTTTCTCTTAGTAAATGTAAATATAAAAATATAAATATAAAAGATTTGTTATCATAATTTATACTTACAAAGTTGTATTTGATTCATCCAAGTGAACTTCTGTACTCTTGTGTTTCTTGTGTGTGAAATCGGTTCCTTTAGAAACCTTTGCTTGGGAATTTATGTTTGAAAAAAGCATTTCGATAAAATCTCTTGTAGTGTCGAAGGTTAGTTTGGCCTGCAACTGAGTCTTCTTATGATTAAAATTGTGATTCGTTTTTATTGTATTTTATTAAGACTTTTTGTTTTTATTTTTATTTTTTGTTTTTGATATATATATATGTTTTTTTAAAGCTATCGATATATATATATTTTTTAAATATCGATATATTTTTTTTACTTTTCAATTTTATAATTTTTATTTAATTTTTATAATTTATCGTTCGTTATCGTTCGTTATAGTTTTTTTTTTTGGATACAAAACAAAAAAAAGATGTATAGGATGTACTAGAGAAATATGTGGTATTTATACTTTCTTTTTTTTTCCTACGCCAGGCTGTGCATTAACATTAACGGTTCTGCTCATTTGTACAGTACAGTACATGCTTTAATTGAAAAATAATGTATTACTTTAAATAAAGGTGATAGGTGATAATTTATGATAGAACTTTATGATAGAACATCACCTTATTGGTCATGAATTTTTTAACCTATAATCGTCTTTTTTTGTGTTGTAATTAAACTTGTACCGTATATATATCCGTATATATATCTGATATATTGTATATCAAACCAGAAAAAATCAGATGGTTGTGATCATTTAAAAAAGGAAATTGATATCCTTCTATATGTCTACTACGTAAATAAATAAAATAAAAAAGCGGCGGATTTTTTTTTAGATTTATATCGGTATGCACGGAGATTTCTAAATTTAAGTACTAGGACTCGTGTAACGTATTACATACACTTGCTCAGTTGTTCCCGCTATCGACAAGCTGACAATGAAAAAAAAAAAAGAGTTATCAACCAGATTTGATTCAGATATAAGATATTAGATGTTATTACTGTATTAGATGATACTTTTTACATATCAGTATATATGTACGTACAGTACGTACGTATTAGATGCATAATTTTTATTTGAATTTTCATGCGCCACATTTATATAGCATATGTAGTATAAAAAAAGAAATTTAAATCGAAATTCTTTTTATGCGTAAAGAAGCATATTTAATTTTAATGACCAATATGATTTGGAATTTACCATTCCTTTTTTCTTCATATGAATAATAACAACTCTTTACCCGTTTATCATTGTTCAGATGATTTCAAAATGCTACACATTTTATCATTCTACCCTTATATTTTCTTTCCGGTTTCGATCTTCCGCCTATTTTTTCCCGCATGAAACACAAATTTATAAATATATACAATACATGATTACAATTTCTAAATTTAAACCTTTAATATTTTGTAACTGTAGTAATTTATCTAAAACGTTTACAAATTCCTCCTTTATTCAAACTTCTTACAATAATTCTTGCTTAGTCTTTTAAATTCCTATTCGCTCCTTTATTTTTTTTCTTCTAATTTCTGTATAGTTTTTTTTTATTTAGTTCTGAATTTAGAAGTCATCGTCGATTAAAAAAAAAAAAAAACTTTGAATATTGTTACCACTAAATCTAGAAGTCATCGGCTAGAAAAAAAACATTTTTTTAACAGTTAAAAATTTTTTCGATTTAAAACTTTTTGATCATCTTCGATTATATTTCGATTATATTATCATTAGAAACATCATTATAAAGTCTTTTTTTAAATGTTTCGTCTTTCGTTATCGGTATAACTTAATTACATACTGCATACGTATCAGTATATGCTATTATCATTATTTATCGTTATTGTATTAACAAATATGGATATGTTATATATTACCTAATGCAATCATATGTGCATACAAAACGCGTTTAAGTATATATGATCTGTAAAACATTAAATTATACGTGACTAATGTATAACAATAAATAATAACAGATAATAAACTATGTAGTCGTAATTACGTATCACAACCGAAATCAATGTTTTTAAAAGATCTTACTGTTACATGTAAATAATAACGCGTATTATGTAAATGTTCTTTTTTACTTACCGTTACTTTATTATTAAGAAAAACTTGTTACTTAATTCCTGTATTATTAAAAGTATTTTTATTCTTAATTCTAATCTGAAATCTAAAAATCTTTAGTTTGAAAAATAAGAATTCTTTTATATTACGTATTTTAGAATCTTCATGACTTGACTTTCCTAGCAAAGATTCTAACATTATGACATCAATTATTATAATAGTTGCATCATCTTTTTATTAAATGTTTGAGATTTCAATAGTGTGTATAACGTACTAACTTCTTAATTATTCTAATTGTTTTATGTATTTTTTTTTAAAAAAAAATTGTACGTAATTACTATTTTAAGATTTAAGTAATTTAAACATAACCAGACCAATCTGGTCTTAAGACTAACTGTGGTTTAGTGATACCGACATAACCTTTTATCGTTACTATATATTTATTACATATTTTAACATCTAATCGTAGTTAAAATAAAAATGATATAATTAGTTATAACTACCAGTGTTGGGAAATGACTAGATCATTTTGTTTTTTTTTTCTTAAATGACCTTGGTAATTATACACATGACCTATAGTCATCGGTCACTATGGTCACATTACGAATGACCAAGTGATTTGTAAACTGTTACATCCGTTACATACGTATCAATCAGTGTTGGGCAAATCAGTGGTCAAGCAAAAATTTGCTGGTCAAATTGGTCAATTGGTCAACTGGTCAAGTTATTTATATAAATATAATATATTTATTATATAATAAATTATATTCAAAAATACTATTTGACCGATTTGACCAATACAAATTCTTTGACCAGACCGGTCAAATGGTCAAATTGGTCTGGTCAGCCCAACACTGGTATCAATATAACTGTTAGTTTTTGACCAATTAAAAGAAGATTTACCTATCGTATTACCTCGAAATAACGCCCATGGCGTAGGTTAAAACATTGGCCAGAATTAAGCTTAATTTAGGCAGTATTAAGCTTAATTCGGGCCAAAGTTTTAACCTACGCCACGGGCGTTATTTCGAGGTAATACAGTACATGTATATAGGCCACATCAGGTCACATAAATCAAAATAACTACGTATATGACCTGTAACTACGTATTAATAAAAATATTAATTAAAACCAAACTATTTTTTTTTTTTTTTATATAATATCAAGTAGGAAAAATAGTAATACATGGGTATATCAATTGAATATAAATGTATAAATGAAATATTCCTAAACTACACTATTGTTGCTATATATATAACAACATCTAGTATGATATTAACCTTTAATTTTCTATTTTGATTAAATCTATTATTGTAATTATTAACTACAGAAAAGAGTAAAAGGAATCTTTAAAATTATTTTAATTTAGTAAAAGCAGATATATATAGTGAAATTTTGAAAAAGGATTTTAAGAATAAATTGATCTATATTGGTATTAAATGCAAATATATTGTTATTGAAATTAGAAGGTTGTATAATTGGTAATCAGACATTATTTTTCCTTTTAGTAAGAGCAGTAATTCCTTATACTGATTCTCATTTATGTTATTTAGTATTATAAGTTTGTCAGATAGTAAGGTTGAACTAGTTAAATAAAGAGTTAGATAAAAAAGATAAGAAAGTTGTTAGTTAGTTTTTTTAGAATTAGTTAAAGTTGTTTATATTGATTAAGTATAATTATACCTTGAATAAGTAAAAGTATTGAATTCTATATAATAGAGTTTGGAGAATAATTTTGTAAATTAAGAATTTAAATTATAGTGTATAGTGTAATTTTTGAGAAGTTTAAAAAGCTTAAAATATTGATAATTTTATTGATAAGAATGTTTTGTGAATTGTAAATATGAAATAAGCATTGGAGTAAATATTTAATGTTTTCATATTGATTACAATAAGAGAAATTTAGATTTAAATAAAATAGAAGGTAGTGAATATTTAAATTTAATATTGTTATTAAAAAAGATTTTATTTTTAATTGAATAAAGTTTCAAATTAGAATTTTGAGAATTAATAATTTCAGTAAGTAATAGAATGTTTATAGTAAGAAGATTTCATAGTAGTTTAAGTTAAAAAAGTTTGTTAAATATTTAAATAAAAAAGATGTTTTTACAAAATTTATAGAGCTTGTATGTAATTGGTATTTCTTTTTAAATAAAGAAAATAGGTAAATAAAAATGGTCAAAATTATATTTTAGTTTTGTTTTTTTTGTATCTTGTTTAGCTAAAGCATTAACAATATTATGTAAAGTGTTATTTGAATGTAATTTAACTTTATACATAGTATAATTAATATTTTTGAGTTTGGTTAAGTAGTTTAGAATGTGGATAATATCCCAGTTGTTTCGTTTGGTTTGAGAATTGTAATTATAAGGTATTGAATTAGTAAAAGTTTGTATAGTAGATAAGCTGTCTAAATAAATATAAATTGAATAGTTGGGAAATAAGATAAGAAATAAAGAAATGAGTGTTACTAGTTTTGCTCATATTGAGTTTGGTGAAAGGTTTATAGAATCATTAAATTTAATTTGTATATTATTTTTCAGAATCTAGGCTATGTCAATAGAAGTGTTGTGTGTTTATGAATTAAGTATAGAAGCATCTGTATAAAAATATATGTTAGTTAATTCGAGAGATAGTAATTTTTTGTGAAAGTTTATGAGTTGATTTTGGTATATGAAGTCAGATATTGTGTTTTGTATTAGGAGGATTTCTGAAAAAAGTAGTAAAAGCGATAGTAGAAATTTTGGAGCTGGTTTATATAGATTTGCATGAATGTTATAAAGTGCTTTAATTTTTTAGTTGTTTATGTTAAGTTCAAAGTTTTGTTTTCTTTTTTGTGTTTTGCATTTAATATTAATGATTTGTTTGTAATTTATTTGAAGCATTGTTAATGTAAAAGAAATATAAATTGTGTTAGTTATTAAATTTGTAATTTAGTATTTTTAAAAAAGAACTTGAAAGTTAGATGTATTAGTTATTTTGCTAATATGCCAATCTGATAATGAAATATAAAGTAACCATGTGTTTTTCAAGATAACAAATTAGGATTTAATAAGATTTAATGTATTTAAAAATGG